GACATTGGACATATGACAGACGGAAAGTTCGTAACATAAGGTATCTGCATACAAAGTATGAAGCATCCAGGTCTTCTACCTTCTGAAATATAAAGCTTTATACAAATAGTTTACGCCGCCGTCGCTGCCGGATAGTAATACCTATGTCTCACTTTCTGCGACTTTCGTCGCAGTCGAGACAATAAAAAATCATGCATCAGAGACTAAAATCAACTAAAACACATCCCAGAGATTTAGTATTTAAGTTGATTTTAGTCATTTTTTTAGCATAAATACAAATGGGAAAAGACACAAGTCAAACAGACTTGTGGAGTCTTCTCCATTGAACATATCTAACGATATAATATACATTGATATATAAAAGAAAGCATGCATACATTAAATATTATTTCAACAATTATATAAATTGGACAGAAATTAAATGGCAGAAAAGAAGAAGGAAAAAAAAGAAGAAAAGAAGCTGAACTTTGATGACGATGTGCTTGTTATCATGTTTAACTGTCTAAACAATAAGGAATCTCTACGGCCTTCTAATAATGACAAAACTGTAACACATGTTTAAAGATATTTTTAAGTTGGTACTGAGTACGTAGACATTTACCCGAGGTTAAAAGATTCTTGGTATTCTATGGTAAGATCCTTTTCAAATGTATTTGAATTGGCATGGATTAAACAGCTACATAACTAAAGGATGTTCTATTAAAATAAAGAGGTAAACATCAACTTATATGAATAAAGAAGATATTGCATATATGTCAATTCAAATAAAATTCAATGGCACAAAAAACCTAAACAGCATCTGCATGTTTAAAAGTCAACATCCATAACATCTATAGAGGTCAACATAATGCCTCCTTAATGATTATGATGATAGATGGCTGCTTAACGTCCAGTGGCAAATTAATATTCATATTCAGGATGAGAGCATGTTAATGTAATATGAAATATTAACCCTGCTTTGAATTAGACCGACAAGCTGAGCCAGATTTTAAACGTGCTAGTTCCCATGAACAGTCAGCAGGAAGACATGTTACATTACCCAGACACATTATACATATATATATACAGACTACGAGCTGACCAGCTTTTGCTCTTACTCCTTAGTGCCACATGCTTAGTGGAGAAGCAGCAAATACCAATTTCAAATTCTTTGGTTTGACCTGGACAGGGTTCGAACCCACTACCTCCTGCACTCTAGGCAAACACACTACCAAGAGACCACCGAGGGGGTTGCCTCCTTAATAGACAGGTTTCGCTATAAAAATTTTCTCAAGTAGTAATTAGTCCTACGTCTAAAAAAATTGTGAACAAATTTAACAGTCAGAGACTATCAAAGATCTGCCATCAAAATCAAAATAATATGAAGCTGTTTAGACAATATCAACTAATGTGAATCTCATTAAGAAATAATATGAAGTTGTTTAGACAATACCAACTAAAGTGAATCTCATTAAGAAATAATATGAAGTTGTTTAGACAATACCAACTAAAGTGAATCTCATTAAGAAATAATATGAAGCTCAGCCTGAGCTGTTTAGACAATACCAACTAAAGTGAATCTCATTCAGAAATAATATGAAGTTGTTTAGACAATACCAACTAAAGTGAATCTCATTAAGAAATAATATGAAGTTGTTTAGACAATACCAACTAAAGTGAATCTCATTAAGAAATAATATGAAGCTCAGCCTGAGCTGTTTAGACAATACCAACTAAAGTGAATCTCATTCAGAAATAATATGAAGCTGTTTAAACATTACCAACTAAAGTGAATCTCATTCAGAAATAATATGAAGCTGTTTAGACAATACCAGCTTAAGTGAATCTCATTCAGAAATAATATGAAGCTGTTTAAACATTACCAACTAAAGTGAATCTCATTCAGAAATAATATGAAGCTGTTTAGACAATACCAACTAAAGTCAATCTCATTCAGAAATAATATGAAGCTGTTTAGACAATACCAACTAAAGTCAATCTCATTCAGAAATAATATGAAGCTGTTTAGACAATACCAACTAAAGTCAATCTCATTCAGAAATAATATGAAGCTGGTTAGACAATGCCAACAAAAATGAATCTCATTCAGAAATAATATGAAGCTGTTTAGATAATACCAACTAAAGTGAATCTCATTCAGAAATAATATGAAGCTGTTTAGACAATACCAACTTAAGTGAATCTCATTCAGAAATAATATGAAGCTGTTTATACAATACCAACTAAAGTCAATCTCATTCAGAAATAATATGAAGCTGTTTATACAATACCAACTAAAGTCAATCTCATTCAGAAATAATATGAAGCTGTTTATACAATACCAACTAAAGTCAATCTCATTCAGAAATAATATGAAGCTGTTTAGACAATACCAACTAAAGTCAATCTCATTCAGAAATAATATGAAGCTGTTTATATAATACCAACTAAAGTGAATCTCATTTAGAAATAATATGAAGCTGTTTAGACAATACCAACTAAAGTGAATCTCATTCAGAAATAATATGAAGCTGTTTAGACAATACCAACTAAAGTCAATCTCATTTAGAAATAATATGAAGCTGTTTAGACAATACCAACTAAAGTGAATCTCATTCAGAAATAATATGAAGCTGTTTAGACAATACCAACTAAAGTGAATCTCATTTAGAAATAATATGAAGCTGTTTAGACAATACCAACTAAAGTGAATCTCATTCAGAAATAATATGAAGCTGTTTAGACAATACCAACTAAAGTCAATCTCATTCAGAAATAATATGAAGCTATTACATAATACCAACTAAAGTCAATCTCATTTAGAAATAGTATGAAGCTGTTTATACAATACCAACTAAAGTGAATCTCATTTAGAAATAATATGAAGCTGTTTAGACAATACCAACTAAAGTGAATCTCATTTAGAAATAATATGAAGCTGTTTAGACAATACCAACTAAAGTCAATCTCATTCAGAAATAATATGAAGCTGTTTAGACAATACCAACTAAAGTGAATCTCATTAAGAAATAATATGAAGTTGTTTAGACAATACCAACTAAAGTGAATCTCATTAAGAAATAATATGAAGCTCAGCCTGAGCTGTTTAGACAATACCAACTAAAGTGAATCTCATTAAGAAATAATATGAAGCTGTTTAGACAATACCAGCTAAAGTGAATCTCATTCAGAAATAATATGAAGCTGTTTAAACATTACCAACTAAAGTGAATCTCATTCAGAAATAATATGAAGCTGTTTAGACAATACCAACTAAAGTCAATCTCATTCAGAAATAATATGAAGCTGTTTAGACAATACCAACTAAAGTCAATCTCATTCAGAAATAATATGAAGCTGTTTAGACAATACCAACTAAAGTGAATCTCATTCAGAAATAATATGAAGCTGTTTAGACAATACCAACTAAAGTGAATCTCATTCAGAAATAATATGAAGCTGTTAAGACAATACCAACTAAAGTGAATCTCATTCAGAAATAATATGAAGCTGTTTAGACAATACCAACTAAAGTCAATCTCATTCAGAAATAATATGAAGCTGTTTAGACAATACCAACTAAAGTGAATCTCATTCAGAAATAATATGAAGCTGTTTAGACAATACCAACTAAAGTGAATCTCATTAGAAATAATATGAAGCTGTTTAGACAATACCAACTAAAGTGAATCTCATTAAGAAATAATATGAAGCTCAGCCTGAGCTGTTTAGACAATACCAACTAAAGTGAATCTCATTAAGAAATAATATGAAGCTCAGCCTGAGCTGTTTAGACAATACCAACTAAAGTGAATCTCATTAAGAAATAATATGAAGCTGTTTAGACAATACCAGCTAAAGTGAATCTCATTCAGAAATAATATGAAGCTGTTTAAACATTACCAACTAAAGTGAATCTCATTCAGAAATAATATAAAGTTGTTTAGACAATACCAACTAAAGTGAATCTCATTCAGAAATAATATGAAGCTGTTTAGACAATACCAACTAAAGTGAATCTCATTCAGAAATAATATGAAGCTGTTTATACAATACCAACTAAAGTCAATCTCATTCAGAAATAATATGAAGCTGTTTATACAATACCAACTAAAGTCAATCTCATTCAGAAATAATATGAAGCTGTTTATACAATACCAACTAAAGTCAATCTCATTCAGAAATAATATGAAGCTGTTTATACAATACCAACTAAAGTCAATCTCATTCAGAAATAATATGAAGCTGTTTAGACAATACCAACTAAAGTCAATCTCATTCAGACATAATATGAAGCTGTTTATATAATACCAACTAAAGTCAATCTCATTCAGAAATAATATGAAGCTGTTTATACAGTACCAACTAAAGTGAATCTCATTTAGAAATAATATGAAGCTGTTTAGACAATACCAACTAAAGTGAATCTCATTTAGAAATAATATGAAGCTGTTTAGACAATACCAAATAAAGTCAATCTCATTCAGAAATAATATGAAGCTGTTTATACAATACCAACTAAAGTCAATCTCATTCAGAAATAATATGAAGCTGTTTAGACAATACCAACTTAAGTGAATCTCATTAAGAAATAATATGAAGCTGTTTAGACAATACCAACTAAAGTCAATCTCATTCAGAAATAATTGTCCAGACTGAATCCTTATTCAAAATAATTACTTAACAATCAATAAAGGTTACTTCAATTTATCTTGGTGTGAATAATATGCCATCATGTCTAACTTATAGTTCTTTCTTAAGTCTAAATGTAAACACACTGTTGTCTGACATATGTTGGCTGTGTTACCTTATCGCAAACTTTAACCATTGTTGATGGTGGTAAGACTACATGGGTAGCACCAAACGCATTAGTAGCATAATCAATAATAAAGAAACATGGCTATGTTCAAAATTTATAACAAAAAATACTATTTATTTCCTTGTCTAATGAGGTAGATACAATGTAAAAGGATTTGGCCCCTTATAATGTAATCTTGTAAAAGTATACTCATGTATAATACCTTTCTTTTACGCATACGTTCCATGAGAGCTTCACTTTCTCTACTGCTACCTTCTAATTTACTGATCAGAAATGGTAGAATAAAAATCAATGCAAGCACTACCACTCCAATTTTTAGAGCAGATTTCTTCCTAATGTGGTACCTCATTTTTACCTGTTATCAATTTCTTGATCTGAAAAATATTCAAATAGAAGATTATGTATGAGGATTTGGAATAATTATAATTTGACTAATTCACACAATTAATGTCTTTTGATTTTCTTTGTCTACAAATACAGTCCTGAGTGTTGACAGTCTATTATTTGCAAATTTTTCATACATCTTATAAATCTATTTCTTAATGTTTTATGTACATGTATTAAATAGCAGTAGGACCAGGTGCATGAAATGAACTACATGTATACGAAAAATTGGGTGATGAATTTTAAGGTAATGTAGTGAGTTTGGTCCAGTTGAAAAAATGTCCTTAAGTGAACGGAGTACCATAATTACGGGATAATTTAAATAGCAGACAAAGCATGCCTGTGTAAATACTTCATATGTAAAAAAAAAAAAGGCATCATAACTTTTTTCATTATGATTGCTGTTCTGATATTATTGCATTTATAGTGCAGTCTCAGAAGGGGTCATAAACCTTATAAATTTTGTATAGCATAATATAACAAAATGTGTGTGTCGAATACTAGTAGCAAAATATAAAAGTTTCATGCTTTATATATACTAAGAAAGGGAATCATAATTCGAAACGATTCTTTTTATGTTTGTCTTATTTCCATTGTCATAAAAAGATTATGCAAGGAAAAAAGTGTATGTTGCATAAATAAAACAGATAAAAATATATACAGACATGTAGATTTAATAAAACTGTCAACGTGGCCTGAGCAGTTGCTGAAATGTTCTGTCACTCGACTTGATCGTACCCTCGTAAAGAAAAACCTTACGTGAAGTTGAATATTTTTGGAAAATGTAGTCTTTATATCATTATTTTTCTTAAAAGTTGTTCTTTTAACGCAATAACCATCAGAACACAAGAAACTTTTACCGGAAACAGGTTACTGTTTACAACAAAACTGAAGATGTTATACAAGGGAAGTAATCATCATTTACCTTGTAGAGTACTGTGTAGATTTACTACTACATGTATGTACATATATATATTCAGGGCCGTAAATTACATGGAGGCATGTAGGCAGTTGCTTCCTATTGCGGAGGGTAGGAATGCCCTTTATCGTCAAGCGTCAACGTCCGTTTTTCGCTACCGTTAGCTAGCGTCAAATGAGCTTTAATTTTTTTATCGTCATTCGTCAAATCTCATTTTGTAGCTACCGTTAGCGTCAAATAGAGTAAAATGTTTATCGTTAACGTTATTTTCACAAATATTTTACCGTCATTCGTCATGTGGGGTACCCCATTTGTACCCTCATTGCGGGCTGACAAAAAAAAAATAATAAAGAAAAAAAAACAGAAAATAAAAAAATTGGTTAAAATCATGCATTATTTTAATAGCACTGGTTGTTAGTTTAACCAACAAGGTGATTAATCATAATGGCAGGGTGTGTTCGATATTGTTAGATCTGGTAAATATCGCTGAACGGTAGCCAACTCCTTTGCACACGTAAAATTTTCCCGCCAATTTTGTACGTTACGTTATAATAAGTTGAATTTGATAACTAAAGTTATGAGTTATTACGTGTGCATTTTCATTTTAAGGTTTGAAAATTGTGTCTATGAAACGAAGTTAAAATAGCTCGATTGGGACAGCCAAAAAAAACCCAGGATAAACCACAAAAAAATGCTCAACTTCAGGGGGCCTTTCATTTTAAGTTCGCAAATTGTTTCCCTAAAACTAAGTAAAAATAGCTTGTGCAGAGTCATAAGGTAGGATAAAGCGTCAACAAATATCTTACTTTACCGGCACACCTAATCTAACTCTGGTTTATAACTGTATTCAATATATTCCAGGCGCTTATTTAATGAAATGTAACAAAAATCTATTAAGTGGTGGATTCTGGGGAGATACATTGCATATAGGGAAAATGCACGAATAAATATCATTTTCTGCATAAAATGGGTCCAAAAGATTTATCGCCTCGCTCCGCTCGGCGGGCTGCCTCCCCTTACAAGGCAGGCAATTTACGGCCCTGATGTTGGAAGAGACATGTAAATTGGCGATTGCCAAAATTGAATATAATCGTGTCATTTTATTCACAGTTTGTTCAATATTTTCAAGCTTGTATTTATTAGTGACACTATGATAAAAGAATACAGGTCACTGTTGATCATTTTGATACTTTTGCATAGTTATCTACCAATACTTGAACGTGATTTGTCGATTATAATATTTTCCTTTTGGCGTACACTTTGATAGACCATGTTGCCGAAACTACTTTTGTAACCCATGGGTTAATTTTACCGTGACTATGTCGATTTCACTGCAATATATACACTATCCTCAGGCTGGGGTTCCAGACCAAGACAGTAGAAATTTAAAAGGAAAAAAAAATGGTTTGAGAATTATAATGATTAAAAACATTTTTTTCTAGAGATTATTGATGTTGAAACTGGGCCGATGACTCACGAAGTTTTATTCAGATTGTGAGTCATTAATTGGCCGTGATACATATCGATAACCTATAGAAAAAATGTTTAAATAGTCCTGGTCAATATATTATGTCCCAGAATAGTCCATAGCAAATAGCGCGTTCTTTTTTCCAAATACGAACAGTGTAGTAAACTACAAGTGGTGAGCGAAAAAAAAATCCAGTAAAACGTTTGCTATGTACAAGGACAATTTCATCAAACAATTTGAAATTACAACTGAGGTTAGAACCAAAATGGAAACTGACATTTAAAGTAATATTATCATATCATGGCTCTGGGCGTGGAACCCCTTTTTGTATCACAGTTACGGTTCTATACAGCATATATTTTCATTATTTTTTGTTTGTTTTATCTTTTCTATATTTATCATATTCTTGCTAATGCAACACAGTCTTACGTTTGGAGCAGGTTATGTATATGTTATCCCTCAACGGAGAGCATATGGAAGTTGGTAACATTATTGCCTAGAACTCTTGCGTAAACTCGGTTGATAAAATTAGCAAATTTTTATTGCTATTCGAATAAAACATCATCTCTATAATTTAATAGAGCCTGAACATTTAGTAACGCAAAAAGAAAGAAAACAGAGAAGACAACAAATTTTAAAGCAATGTACCATGGAGATTTGAAAAATATGTCGCATGCATAATCAGTTATCCGTTGAGTGCCAAAACAGAACTATATTGTATACACATTGTAAAAAACACATCTTTAGAAGTGTGGTGTTTTAAAAGCATAACTATATAATTCGGTTTAGGGGCCAGCTGAAGACCGCCTCCGGGTGCGGGATTTTCTCGCTGTGTTGAAGACCCATTGTTGGCCTTGGGTTGTTTTATGCTTTTGGTCGTGTTGTTGTCTCTTTGACACATTCCCCGTTTCCATTCTCAATTTCATTGGTATGAATATCTTTATATTTTTTTTATGCAAAAACATTTTTGAAATAATAAAAACAAGATTTGGTGGCAGATCTTTGATATATATGCTCTGTTGAATTTATTCAGTTCTTCAAGACTCGGTACGATTTAGAGCTTGACATACTTATTGAATAATTGGTTGATTGGTGTTGCATCATTGCGAAACGGCTGTGTCGTAACGACATCCCCTTGCTATAATATTGTAGAAAACGAATAAATCTTACGAAAGGTTCATCAGTTAAAACTGTGGTTTCAGACAGTGGTGATTATATATGATTGATTGCTGTTTACCGTACATCTAGTGACAAATATAGTTCATGTATGTTCAGGACGAGAACAAACTAACAATCAATTCATTAGCTACATCCTGCAATTGGTGTCGATCGTTGTGAAGGGCAGGAAATTTGAAATGTCAATGGAAAATGAGGGTATATTGGATAAGAGCCTAAATTTAGCCTTTCAATAGGCCATCTACGGACCCCTTTAGAGAGCGGGACACTAAGTCTACACAAGGCATCAGATTTAAAGTTCCAATTCTGACCAAATGTTACCATTAATACATTCCGCACAGCCAAACGGACGTCCCTATAAAAATAAGGAGACATGGTATGATTGCCAATGAGACAACTATCTACTAAAGTTCAAATGAAGAGCTAGGATGTAAGCAACTATAGGCAACCGTACGGCCTTCAACAATGAGAAAACCCCATACCGTATAGTCGGCTATAAAAGGCCCCGACATGGAAAATATTTATAATTCAATTGAGAAAACTAACGGAATAATTCATAACAAAACAATCCTTCTTTGACAAAATTTTTACTGTCGGTCGTTCATTATTATCATCATTATTTTTGTTATTATCATTTCTTTTCATCTTGTTTTAAGTTTTAAACTTGTCTTAAATAGGGTATGTTTACCTATTTTGTAATGTGTGTCTGTTACTTGAGAGAAAGGTGCTTTTTCTGTACTGGCTTTTATTGTATATACTTTAAAAATTTATGTACGATTTGTTCATTTTAAATAAAGGGAAAGATTTGAGATCTAAAAAAAAACCTGTTTAATCCGGCAATATTTATATGCATCCGTTCCAAGTCACCGAACTCGTCAGGACGTGAGGTGATGTCTTATGTCATACCATAATTTTTTTTTAGTTATTTGGAGAATTTCGTTTAATTGAAGATCTTCGATCATTTCTGTTATATTTATTCCCAACTTTAATCTCCCCTTTTTTGTCATATAACTCATTAACTGTTTCGGTTCTTATACATCCTTGGCTTTCAAATATTCGGCTTTGAGCTTTCCTGATGAAGGTCTTCTTGTTTGTATCATATTAACTAAGTTACCTTTACTATAAAAAAAAAAACTTTAGTTTTCTTAAAGTTATTAACAATTGGATTAGTGAATTCTTAAGATTTCTATTCTGATCAATAAACAGGTCACCAAATTTATCAAGAGACTTATAAACGTTCATAAGTATTTAATATTTCTTGTTTTAAGTCTGTCATAGTTTAGTCAACAGCTGTTCGGAGAAGGAAGATACTGAGAGTGTCTGTACCTACATGTAACAAGGTATAATTTAGAAAGCAACAGGTAGATAGGTAGGCGTGACAATTGCATTATAAAGGTCGAAAATGAAAACTTTCGTGATCGATTTTGAAAGAAATCACCAAAGGTCATTTCCACCAAATGTTAACTGACCAGGTTAGGCTTAATAAAACAAAATTAAATGAAAGATGATCTCGAAGGGAAACTGACTGATGGCGAGCATAGGGGAGGGGCGTATAATCTTCATTCCACTTTTTACTCGGATTACCGTTGGGGAATCCGAAGTAATGCTATGGCAGTTTCTGTGTGTGCTTTTAAACACGCATTACTGCGTATACATATAAATACGCTAACGTTATCGAATGCAATACGGAATTCTTTATCGCTTCATATGTATTAATATTATCAATGAAATTTTATGAAAATATTTTTTAAGAACCATGATTTATTTGTAATCAACATGTTTTGTCTTGAGAAATATACATCAGTAAAAAAATCATGATTATAATAATAACGAACAGGTACCTAGATACATGGGTCATCTAAGTACCCATAATGCATGCGAATGAACTTAAAGAATTGTATGCATATATGCATGTTCCTTGTGAATAACAATATGACGGACGTACAGAGTTATCTACCTTTTGAATACTATCTCTAGTGTTGTTACATCTTTCACTTATCAACATAAATCCAGTTTCCAAGAGTTGTATTATATCACGACTGAGATCACTTTTAGTTTATCACTATGGAGACAATATATACTCTCATCTCATGATTGTACATCATTTAAAAAAAATATCTATTTATTAGCGTATGATATACACAATACACAGAGTCCAATACACAGCTTGCTTAACATTTTGTAGAAGGAATGTTTGATAACTGACAAATCAAATAATTTCAAGTAAACGTTCAGAAAACAGAAGTTAAGAACTATCCCTTTCCTTATTTTTTTGTTGTCAAATGCTTGTAAGGATCAACAGGGGTGGATCCAGAAATTTTTCAGGGGTTGTAACCAAAGTCTAAATGTTTCAATTTTTTTAGTTGATATAAATAAAAGGTCATTATAAGTACATGTAGTAACAAAACAAATGGTAACTCATGGTTTACAAAATTGATTCTAATTTTATTTTTCTTTGACCGCCTCGTGGTGCTCCACTAGAGTGCGGGAAGTTGTGGGTTCGAACCCCGGTTGTGTAAAACCAAAGTCTTGGAAATACGTCTTTGCTGCTTCTCCGCTGGGCATGCGGCATCTAGCAGTGAGAGCATATATAGACTGATTGTTTAGGAGTCAGAATAATTTGACCGCGTAGGCTAACATGTCTACCTGTGGACTGTTTCCTTATGAAAAAAGCACGTTAAAAAACCAGGCTTAGTGTGTCGGTTCAGTACAAAGCATGAGCATATTGTTTTTCTTAAATTGTTTAACATTTCATACCGATATAACATGTTACTTTTATTATTCTTCCCTTAGTTTATTTATTTTGTATTTACATTGTATCATAGGTCAAATTTATTTGTTCAGTGTATGTTCACTGAAGTTAATATGTCCTTTGATTGAGTTAAGCTATTTCAGTTGATATTTTATAGTGTGTCTTTCTATGTTGTGATGTTACACTATTGTTTTAGAAAAAAGGTGAAGGTTTGGTAACATTAAAACGTTTAAACCCGACGCATTTGTTTGCACCTGTCCTGAGTCAGGAATCTGATGTTCAGTAGTTGTCGTTTGTTGATGTGGTTCATAAGTGTTTCTCGTTTCTTGTTTTTTATATAGATTAGACCGTTGGTTTTCCCGTTTGAACGGTTTTACACTAGTAATTTTTTGGGGCCCTTTATAGCTTACTGTTCGGTGTAGGCCAAGGCTCCGTGTTGAAGACCGTACTTTGACCTATAATGATTTACTTTTATAAATTTTGACTTGGATGGAGAGTTGTTTCATTGGCACTCATACCACATCTTCTTATATCTATTTATACTCTGATCATATCACATAATTATGATTATTAAACTGTAAACTATCATATCAAGGTATAAGGGTAAATATATATAATACACGTTCATCAGTGCTGATCCATTTTCAGGAACATGATCTCACTATTTAAACGCGCACATTCGGAAATGGTTACTATCATAATAGAAGGTTTGGCTCCTTCGACCTCCCGTAGTTGACATGTAACCACACCCCCTTTTAAATAGTTCCTTGATCCACTACTGATTAAAGTAAGAGAACCAAAATATGCTTCTGTGATTACCTCTTCCGTTTGAACAATTCATACAGACAAATAAAACAATTGCTACTATATACACGATAGAAATTAGATGACTATAATATGTTAACTTATGCATTGGTTGGGTCATGGCTAAATTAAGAAACAGTATGTAAATTAGAAATATTTAAAACTAAAAAGAACAAAAAAGGTCAACGCTGTGAAGTTTAAGGAAAAGGGCAACCAACATATACTGTTTACACAAGCAAGGGTCACACGAGTACAGAATTATAGTTACATAAACTTCTCTAGCTTTGAATTGGGGAAGGGTGTTTGTTTTAAACACAATCACATCTGGTCGAAATACACCTATTAAATGTATTATCCAGTCTTCAGACAGTGCACCACACATTTAACCTTTTTTGTAAATGTGGCTGAAATGTTTGATATTTAACTTGAAAAATAACTGCTAGTAGTCTACATGGATGTAGAACATTTTTTTTTATTTATTTGCCAACCGTCAGATCTAGGGTTCATCCGAGTAAACAGCACGTCAGTACTTTGATTTATATTTGTGATCTAGATATTTTTTTTGAACAAAATCATTATCAAATAGCTATCACATGGTCTATTGGTCGAGCAGTAGACCTAGTCCAAAATAACATAAACATGTTTTGGTATTTATTAATAACAACATATTAATATAAATATAAATGTAGGTCAACCGTCGTAAGTTAGAATATTTTAGAAGAAATATAAATAGCCTTGACAGTGTTTACGTAGATACGACGGCGCAATTAACTTTCTTTTTATCCTTCTGTGATATCAGGTAAGTTTTACTTTTTCTGTTTCTTAATGTTACCAGAGACATATAATACAATATATTATGTATTACATGTCTCTGATGCAACTTATTTCTGAAATTGCTCAAAATTTTACGTACTTGAACAATATTTGTATATGCGTATAATGATCAGTGAATCGGAAGGTAATACCATGTAAAAGTTATAAAATGTAAACTCTTTTAAAACGTAGTCTTTCAGTAATGATCAAGCGTTACTAAAATTTTCATGAAAATTCAGTTACTAGTATATCATATATATGACTCATATCCATATATATATATATATAATATATACGATTGCCTCACAAGGAAACAAAAATCCTTCAAAATTGAACTAACAGTAAAATTATACTATTTCATGGCGGAAAGAAACTGTAAATATATTGGAAGAAATGAAGAAAAGACTTCTTAATTGTTATAAGGATTTAAGTGGGAACACCAAAATGTATATTTTAACAGTTTTGCAAATTATACTGAAAACTTGAGGTCCTAAAGCAGCGAAAAGATTACTTGACTTTATACAGTTTACAGTTATATAGTATAGTAACCGGATGTTCAACAGACCCACGCACACAGCCCTTATATGGGCTGCAGTGATAAAAGCTGACCTGATACATTCCCGATAGTGGAAAACTTAAGAGACAATTCAATATTTGGTACAGAAACTCCAAAGACATTGTAACACGGACGGAATTGCTCATGTTTCAAATGTACAATATGTTAGTTTTCAGTTTTACAGTACATAAATATAAAATAAGCCATATATATATATCGATAAGAACGCATCTTTTTTTCTTTCAGAAGTAACATATTGCTAAGATTATATATTTTACATATATTCATTATTTCACCGACTGTAAACTAAAATCCGTTTGTGACTCATCGCAATCAATTATATTTATATAATTATGTTAATATTTTTAACATATAAAGAATCTAAAACAAAGTGTAAATGGCCTTCATAAGGTAAGTTTTGGTACGTTTCAAAATACTTATAAGTTTGGATGAAGCTTGGATTAAGAATTAGATTACAAAATATTTGGAAACAAACTTTCGCGTTTTCATTGTGCATTATATATAAGCCTATTAAGAATGACGGTTATTGAAATAAATGTATATGTTATACTCCATAATAATTTGTGATGTATTTATATGTGTGTACAACAACTACAAGCAAATACATTTATCAAGGTTTAAGAGGGATCCAAATTTTCCTTCTTTTCCTGTTTTCTCTTTTCAGAACCATGCACTCATATTCCTCTGTTCTTCATTTTGTTTCGGTTTGAGCTTTACGGATTTGACCCCGACTCGTAATCGGTTTGAGATCAATAAAACAAGACTTAAAGGTTAAAGATTAACAATGACAAAAACTACTTAAAATACAACAAACATTTGTCATTTTGTAGGTCTTTTTGTGCTTTTCCAACTGATTTTTAAGGTTTGTTCTTATGCGGTGCTGTTACACCATTATTCTATGTTGGGGATGGTTGAGCTCTCACGAACATGTTTTACCTCGTCACATTCTGTGTGTGACTGTCCAAAGTAAGGATCCTGTTAATTGTTGTCGTCTGTCTTATTTGCTTTTCGATTGTTGTTTCAAGCATACATCAGGTCGTCTGTGTTCTTTTTTGTATAAATATAAGGAGATGTGGTATGATTGCCAATGAGACAACTCTCTCAACCAGAGACCAAAGGACGTGGATGTAAACAACTATAGGTCACCGTACGGCCTTCAACAATGAGGAAAACCCATACCGCATTGTTATAACAGGACCCGAAATGAAAAATGTAAAACAAGTCAAACGAGAACATTAGCGGCTTAATTTATGTATAAAACAAAAAACAAAAAAACAAATGATATACAGCAACAAACGACAACCACTGAATAACAGGCTCCTACTTGACTTGTGACAGTGGTCTAACCGTACATTATCAGAACAAACTATAAAAAGCAGTTGAAAAGGGCTTAACTCATCAGACCAGAAAAGCAAAGCAGAAATCTAATGACGAGGTTCCTGACTCTGGATAGGCACGTGAAAACGTGGCAGTGAATAATTTGTTTTGTTGGAACTCAACAATCACTCAATAAAATACCTTATCTTGTCCAACAATCCTTCTTTCAATCTCATTCGGTTAAATAACAAAAGATACATATAGAAGAAATACAATTAACATCATATCATCAGAAGCAGTTAACTTTATGATAACGGTAAAAATATCAACAGTATCGTTGGGTTGCTGCGTATTGACGTATATGTAACCCACGCCTCTTTCTATTCACATCACACAACCACACGTACGCAATGATATGTTACCAGGGACAATGAACTTTAATTTTGTTTTGAAGAACAACCTGTAACTAACAACGTAGAAATGCTTTGGTACCAGGAATCTATTCACCAAACAATATGTGTGTGTACATGACAATGTATGATTGGATTTATTCCCTAGCTGAATGCTTGTGTGTTTACGTTTTTTTTTAAATCGTTTTATCAACGAATTATACTTTTAAATTATGTTTAAAGAGAAATTATATAATACAAATGCATAGCATTTTAGATTATATATATATATATGTATACATTCAATGAAGTGGTGCATGGATAGCTTGAGAAGTCTCCTGGTACAATGGTCTATTATCGTCTAATGTGGTCAAATTTTTTATCTGCCATATATCCGAATGTCTCTATTTTCGTTCATTCGTCAAAGAGTGTATATTTTTACAGCGTTCATTGAATTTACCCATAACAGGAAAGATCAGGGGCTCTTTTTACAAAAAATCTTACGACTAAAATTGATCGTAAGTTATACTGAAATGTTCATGACTTACGAGTGGTTTTACTGACTCGTTAGATATTTTTGTGAAAATAGCCGTAGATCCAAGTCTAAAACAGCATACATGCATATATAGGGAGCTTTATTTCCAAAATGTAACTGAAACAATACCAATTATTTTTACATTCTCAGCTTTCGTCATTTTTGCACATATTCTGAAAAGTTTAGAGGATATGAAAGGGGAATTTGAAAGAAAAAAAAAACAGAAATCGAAGAAAGATATGCGCGCAGGAAACACCAAAGCCAAAAGATAATAAAGACGAAAAGACCTTGATTTTCAGTCAATCTGTTTTTCTTTTATTCGCAAAGCTTTATTCTTTCTTACTTTTCTGAACAAAACGAAACCAGAACATATATTTGGAATTAAACAAACAATATTTGGAGTCACATTGAAGAAATAACTTGATTACGTCAACTAGACAAGCTCGGACGATGTGGATTCATTTGAAAGGGAGAATATGCTTGGGAGCGTTGCATTGAACATTTAAGTTTTTAGCATTCATAGCAGAAATGATTCTCTTTACTGTTGTGAGTCTCCTTACAAATACACACAGACCTACCTTCATTGAAAAAAAGTAACACAGTGGCATTTAAAGAACAAACTGTTTACATTAATCAAGGATGCTGCAAGATTACGTATTTGGTAACATAAATCACAGTGGCGTAGGAGTAGACTGATAAAAAGGGGGAGGGGTAAACTTCTGAAAGTGACAAAAAAGTCTAATATCTAATAGTCTAGGAAGTTACTCCGTGACCTCACATAGTTTTGCCCCCTACTTGTGAAAGTGTGGAAAGGGGATGGGTAGTTGCATACAGTAATCACTGACTGAATTGTCAAATACAAGAGCTAGACTGTGGATCCAGAGGTTTTGCCTTGAAAAAAAAACCAAAAGGGTACATAATTCTTAATAGATAAAAACCATTTGATATTTAGATAGTGATTTGTCAACATATATAGTACTAGTATTTATGTATATATATAATACTAAAATATGTTGATTGTTTCCCACAAATATGGGTAGTTATATCTATTGGATAGCACACTAGTACTCCATACTTCATATAATTGGATCTCAAGGTTTTCAAACTAAAGACTGTATATATATATATATATATATGAATATCTATAAAAAAACGAGGGGGGTGGGGGGTCTCCAGGGCCAGTTTCTCATGTATTTTGAATTTTGAAAGTAATAAAATCTAAATTTCATTAAGTCTTTAAATATAAAGAAAATAGAATTTAAAGCGAGCTGGTATGTCAGTTTTCTTGTTAAAGACATTTCTCATGAAAAAGCTGTATAATCAAGAACGCCTGAAGATAAAAGGTCTACCGACTTCCTTATTCGCGATCTGATTAAATTACCCATTGCGGGAATGTTTTTATTCTTTCAAAATAGTGTTACCGGGGAAAATGGAAAAAGGTGCTTTTATTAAACCAGTTTTATATATATATATTTATGAATAACTTCTGTCAATATTATTTATGAAGATGCATCTCAAAGATTCAAAACTATATGCACCAACCCAAAATGAAAATATACTCGCAAAAAAGTCTTCAATGTTTGTTTGGCACGTTCTCCACAAGAAAGCTAATGTTAGTAGTTCACATGAAAACGTTTTTGAAAATGGTAATAATGAAAAAAAAGAAAACACATACCAAGCTCATTTTTTTCAACCCCTGGTTGAAAACGTCATTTGAACAAGCCAAATTATATCAGCAGCTAGTCCAGAGAGGTTTAAGCAACATATAAACAAAATCGAATAATACTTTTGAATAAAAATATTTACTTCATTTCTTTTTTAACCTGAATAGAAATAGCCTTTGACTCGTTATATTCACACAAAGACATAAACACTAGTTTGGCCTGAACGGATTCGATGTAGATGCTAAAGGACCTGGTGTCTATAACATATAATGGCGGATGACACAATTGACCATTATTCGTGTCATGTTACTCAAATTATTATCGGAAGTTAACATGTTCAAGATGTTATGTGGTGTGTGTAAACATGAAAACATTACAAGATTTTTATGATCATTTAATAAAATAGTACCAGTAGAAAATCAAATATCTTATATTCTATTTATCGTATAACCTTGCATGTGTATAGTAAGTTTACGATCCTTAAAATAAACCGATCTACACCGAGGCATACTATTAATAGACTGCACATTTTAATTTCCAAAAGTACCGGGGGGGGGGGGGGGGGGGGGTATTATTTACATCAAAATAACCACAAATAAACCTTTTTATATTCAGGACTCATAAAGGAGAGTCCTGTATATTGACTACTATACTTGTTCACTGGTTGTCGTTGGTTCATGTCTGTCATATTTGTTTTTCGTAAATTGTTTTCAACGGTTATTAATAAGGCCGTTAGTATTCTCAACTGAATTGTTTCACATTTTTCATGTCGGGGCCTTATATAGCCGAATATACGGTATGGGGTTTTCTCATTGCTGAAGGCTGTACGATTGCCTAAAATAGCTTACGTCCACTTCATTTGAACTCTGGTGGATAGTTGTCTCATTGGCAATCATACCACATCTCCTTATTTTTATAGTGATTTTAGCTTGTTATGGATGGAGTAGCAATTAAGCCCCAACAAAAGTAAAAAAAAAACCAATAAAATATTTAGACATTTAAAAATCTATAACAACTAACAAGAAAGGAACATGTATATATTACACGTTGTGAAAACAAAACCTAACATGATTACGTATTAAACATTATATCACATAAGTTGTCAAGTTTTCTGGGATTTTGGCACGATCTCTGCTTTGCATCTTCGGTCGAACAGTGAGCTAGGATATTGTGGATTGTGATCTTCAAGCCTTTACCGGATAAAACCCGGAGTTTTTTTTTAATTATCTGTAGAACTTTGAATTAATCAAGCACCAATGAAATATGAAGACTATAAAAGGGTTTTTGTCGAGCCTGCGTCTTCTGTCGTAGAAAGCTCGACATAGGGATAATGATCCGGCGGCGGCGGCGTTAATTAACTAACTACTTAAAAGCTTTATATTTTAGATGGTGGAAGACCTGGATGCTTCATACTTTGTATATAGATGCCTTATATTATGAAGTTTCCATCTATTATATGTCCATTGTCCTTGACTTCACTTTCATGGTTCAGTGACTACTTGAAAAAAAAGTTAAGATTTTTTGTAATGTTAATTTCTTACTTATTATGAGTAATAGGACAACTATATTTAATATGTGCATACCTTGCAAGGTCCTCATACCTGTCAGACAGTTTTCATCTGACCTCGACCTCATGTCATGGATCAGTGAAAACTTGAAAGGTTAAGTTTTCGTGGTCAAGTCCATATATCTGATACTATAGGCAATAGGTCTACTAAATTTGGTGTATGGAATGATTGTAAGGTGTAAATGTCCAACTGGCAGGTGTCATCTAACCTTGACCTCATTTTCATGGTTCAGTGGTTAAAGTTAAGTTTTCGTGTTTTGGTCTTTTTTTTCTAATACTATATGCAATAGGTCAACTACATTCGGTGTATGGAAATATTTTACGATGTTCATGTCAGTCTGGCAGGTTTTATTTGACCTTGACCTCATTTTCATGGTTCATTGCTCAGTGTTAAGTTTTTCTTTAACTATAAGAAGTACGTCAACTATATTTGGTGTATGGAATGATTGTAAGGTGTATATGTCTGTCTGGTATGTATCATCTGACCTTGACCTCATTTTCATGGTTCATTTGTCAATGTTAAGTTTTTCTGGTTAAGTTCGTTTCTAAGAAACTATAAGTTATAGGTCAACTATATGTGGTGTATGGAATGATTGTAAGGTGTGCATGTATTTCCGGTTTGGTTTATCTGACCTTGACCTCATTTTCTTGGATCATGTTAAGTTTATGTGATACTTGTAGTAAAATTTTATATTTAGGACTATCAACATAAAGTCAATGGTCAGTAATGCAGGCGAGACATTTCAGCGTGTGCACTCTTGTATGGATTATAGATATAAATAGATACAAATAGAAAAATCAACATTTTCCAGCCCAACGGTATTAAAAAATCGAGTTCCTTGTAGTAGTTCATATGTAACGAAAGTTCCTTGACATTTGTTGGAAGTTGTAAGTTTGCATATATAGTGTCATCAATAGACCCAAAAGAACAGGATCTGTGACAATATTGATCACTATCAATGGTAAGATAAACAAACGTACAAAAATAACAAATATTCTATCTTACTTCTCTGATTTCTATTATTTTCTATTTATATATTTTAGGTAGCACTGACAGAGAACCTGTCAAGTATCAAGAGACAGAACGTTAAGTGAAAATAGTTGCATGTTTATCAAATGTGGATATCTAAACTATAAAGAAAAGTAAGTTGTTCTGTACAGACGAAAATTCGGACTTTGATTCAAATATTATGAGAAATTGAATAAGAACTATTTGATCTGACCAAGAAATGAAAAATTCAAACAGAAATATATGCTAGATTGAGCTCTAGGTCAGGAGAACTATCCGGTTGTCAGATTGAAACGTATTCCTTACAAGAAATTTTTATCAAAAAGAGCTAAAAACACAGCATAAAAATTAGGCAAATAACTGAAAATAACACTTTCCAAATTTCATGCGTTCGAAGCGTTAAAAAATTATTTTATCTTCATCAGGAACGCTCAAACGGCTTTGTAGTAGGGGCTTAAAGGTCCGTTTTTGGCATATGCGACAAAATAAATTTGTTTACAACTATTTCATATTTGCTTATAAAGTTTGGAAATGTGTAAGGTCAACAAAATATAGATGAATAACACAAGATTTTGATGGTATGACGTCACAATTACGTCATAACACACCTTTTTCATGAAAACGGAAAAAAGTGCTGAATTTATGCAGTTTTCCATGCGTTGAGGCTTTGGCTAACTCGGCTGTGTATTTTTATGTGTTGGATTAAGTTGTTTTATGTAATATCCGTTTTTATTCTGTAGTTAGTCCCCACTTCGGTTTTATCATGTATATCTATTATATAGTCATTTTATAAAGTTTACTGTTTTGCAAAATTATAAATTATTCTAAATAATAAGGATGTTCTTGTCCCAGGCAGAAAACCCTGGCCGTGTTAGGCGCAACTTTTTGGAAGTTTTGGTCCTCGGTGCTCTTCAGCTTTGTACTTGTTTTGGCTTTCAAACTTTTTTCATCTGAGCGTCACTGGTTGGTCTTGTGTGGACGAGACGCACGTCTGGCGTATTGAATTTTAAGCCTAGTACCTTTTGTTAGCTATTATACGTGTGTTTCTTTGTCCTATATGCTCTCCCATTTATTTGTATTGTGGTCCTGTCATGTGATGTTGTCGTTTGGTGTTGTGTTTGACGTTGCCATAAAAGCGGGAGGTTTGGCATGCCACAAAACCTGGTTCAACCCACCATTTTTTTCTTAAAATGTTCTGTACCAAGTCAGGAAAATGGCCATTGTTATATTATAGTTCGTTTCTGTGTGTGTTACATTTTAATGTTGTGTTTTTGTTGTGTCGTTGTTCTCCTCTTATATTTGATGCGTTTCCCTCAGTTTTAGTTTGTAACCCGGATTTGTTTTTATCTCTATCGATTTATGACTGTTGCCTCATAGCCAGAAATTAGTAGTACTTTTGCTAATTAATATTCATAATATGTAAATGAGAATTGTACCACGTGATAATAGTTTGAACTGGACTGGCTTGATATCATTAAAATCTTTAAAACAATCTTTATTATAAGTTGCCCGTCACAGAGTCCTTGTTTATAATCACTCTGATATTTCCGTAAAGTTGTCAGGCGGTCAAAATCAAAACAGTGAACGCGAATTTAGTGAATTTTTCGTGTTTTCGTGAGTTTATTCTTCTTGAAATAGAGGCATTTTAACTTTACGTGGGAACCTAGAGTTCAAAGACTACACATACAAGGTTTGGACTTGCTTATTCTTTGGACATTCAAGTTTCAAGTTTCACCCCGGCAACCTGTATTTCTTATGACCTTGTTAGCCAATTTTCAACACGAAGTTTCCAAATTTGACGTTTCAGCCATTTTAGCCTGTATTTTATACTGCAATGTTAAAAGCCTCTCGCTTCGATTTTTAAAATAGCTAGGAACCTTGATTTTTGCAACGACAGTCATTATATTTTGTTTAAATGGTGTATATTGTTGTGTATATTTATTTTCTGCCCCGGCAACCTGTCTATCACTTAAATCAAAGTTAAAACAGACATTTTTTCAAAATTCCCTATCATTTCAATATAATTTCCGTGACCCGTATCCGATTTTTTTAGTATAATATTCAAATAAGCAAAGTGGCGTTGATTTCTGGATATGTTTATTTCCATCCACATTTCCTTTGAGCAATCGTTATCTTTCCGTCAAAGTGTTTGGTTTTAGGTAACGTTATTTGACGTCATTCGTGCGTTTGTTGGGCATAAAATCTACGTCAGTAAGTTGAGCTAAGGGATGAATATTCTAATGGGGATAACTTCCTTATGACTGCTTCGATAACCGTTTTTAAATGATAAAATTAATATATTTCTTCGGGCAAGGTTGGTTTATGTACATAAGAATAAAGACGGGTGTTTGAAAAATGTCAAGCAGTCACAATTACTTTATATGTAGATCTATCAGTTCAAAGATGAAGGGATCCAGTTAGCCTATAAACGTTTTTAAAAATGACGTGAGAAATCAGCGTATAGTAAAAGAGTATTTCTGGTAATGGAAATGATATGGATAAAACGTATCAAGAAACACCAACATAATTTTAAAGAAGCTTTATTAAACCTATCTAAATAATCTCAGCAAATATCAAGTTGTTTCTTGGGTGCGTACGTACTTTTCCAATCCAAAATATACTTAAAAGTTCTTTAAATCCAGAAATTAAAGAAAAATAAACTAAGCAAAAGTTTCAAAGTCAACAGACCATAACTGAGGGGGCGTGGCCAATGAATCTCCATAGAAATAAGATAAACCAATGCTTATACAACTGCATACTAAATATCATTGACCTACCACTAGTGGTTACCCATAAACTGATCTAATCACAAACTAATACATGTAAACTTGGCAAAAGTTTAAAAGTCAATAGACCATGACTGAGGGGACAGGGCCAAATAATCTCTTTTTTTGTCCTCTCTTTCCGCTTTGGTAGTATTTCATGGCTGTGAGGATACACAATGAATAAAGCTTATAAGTATACCACTGGAATCAACATGTAATCATTGACTGTATACATAATATGTATTTACAGTTGGTGTATCATTTAGAAAGTGATGAAAGTTGGACATACTTTACCGTTTAAAATTGCCATGACAACTTGAATGTATGATCTCGAGGTATAATGACATGTATCAAACGAATATTAATAGTTACTCCGCTCTCACCCCATATGGAATTTACTGACTCCATATATATCGTATTAGGTCACTAGCAAACTGTGTAATGGCTTTATCTTACCGACTTTTTTAAATGTGTGCCATTTAGACTAGTAGCCTATCAAAGTGATCAATTCTTCAATATTAAGAACCTACTTCCATTGATCTATACAAAACTTTTAATGTGTTTTCTGCATTTATTTTCAATCGTTCATCATCAATTTCTTCATCTGTTGTCCGGTCGAAACGTTTCAGATTTTTCCTCAACGCCGTGTTGTTTTTATAAAGGGACATATACCACTACTAACCATGTATCAAAACAATACACGCCTACTAATGCCATATTAAATATACAGGGTCTCCACGTGTTCGCTTTTAATCAATGATATTCCTAGAAGTGTATAGTAGGTGAGATAATGGCCCATGCATAGTAAATATATAATCTTTGCTTTAAATCATGTTTTTACATACTATCGATGTTTCGTTGCAGCATAGTATGGAAAGTTTCCAAGGACTTTCTGATCGTGTGAGGAGAGTTTTCTCAGAGACAGTTCAGCTGGGACTAAAGCCTACGTTAAACGATCATAAAGTTCCACAACTTTTCAGGGAACCAGGCGTTATCAATGGTTATAGAAAACCTCACCAACCATTCCGGTATTATCTGATAAGTCTTTTTCAAATTCACAATGAGACTGTCAACGTTTGGACACACATTGTTGGTTTCTTTGTCATTTGGTTCGCAATGGCAGAATATTACGAAAAACTTGATTTCTGGAATAATAAACATTCATGGGCTATGTTGGTTCTAGGATGCTGTGTTTTAATCGCTTGCTTTGTCAGTTCTTGTGTACATCTTATGCATTCCAAGTCAGAAAATTGGCATTACAACGCGTTTATGATTGACTACATCGGTGCTGCACTATATGCGTATGGATCAGGCGTCATGGCCTTTTACATATGCTCAGACCGAGAGACATACTATGTTATTGAGAAATATTACTTTCCAATTTTATGGTTTTACTCATTATTCAATTACACTGCTATGTGCTTCGCAAAGGTTTACTATGGTTCTGATACCCACAATAGGAATAGGAAATTGATAATGGTGGCTGCGATGGCTGGTCATGCGATATTGCTTACGATACCAATGGGACCAAGATATATTAAATGCTATATGGATGAGACCTGTAGTCTTTCATCGTTAAATCACCTAACTATTTGTTATATTCTTTTTGCGCTTCAAGCCTTTTTCTTTGCGAGTCATCTTCCGGAGGTTTTGATCCCAGGAAAATTCGATATTCTTGGACAAGGACACCAGATATTTCACGTGCTCTCGACCATTTGCCAATGCGCACAATTCAATGGAATATACCACGAAATACACACAGGTCACGCCGCTCACGGTGACCCTGATCTCACACACTTAATATTTTCTACAATTATGTTGATAATTCTTCAGGTTGTTGTCATGCAGTTTATGCGAAAGATGATTCCAGTCAAATCAACTAAATCCTGCTAGAATTGCATTTCGCCGGTGGTTCTAGATTAGCCGTCAACGACTTCTAAAACGACTGTTTTACTTCATCACATTATAGAGAAGCGTTTCACGGGCCAGACAATGTAGTTAATAGAGATCGAATGTTGATGCGATGTTTTTCTATCTTTGAAGGGTTTTTTTTTTCGCTTCTTATGTTTTCAATTTAATTTTTAAACGGGTTTACTATATCTTTAAAATTTGCTTGGTTGGGTACGTTCAACTGAAATGGGAAACAAAAAATGTGACAAAAAGATGTACTGAATGCTTTTTTTTTTAATCTAAATGGTTGAATGCCAAATTGTACAAGTGTATATAAAAGTAAGCTAATAGGTTGATCAGGAAATGTTAGTATTTTTTCATGTTTTTGTGCAGTTGTTATTCAATTTGTACAGGAAAACAAATATATATATATTTTTTCAATGTTACGAATGTTCAGTGTAAACCACGTAAAGAATGAATGTATTTTTAGAAATTAAATGATGTCTATTGTATCATAAGATTTTATCTATTTACCCATAACAGACCAATTAGATTACACTGTTAAACCAACCGACTCGGGGTGTGGAGGGGAGAGGAGTGCTGGTTTATGGGAAGCGGGCGTATCCACGATACAATAAAGTACTAAGTTGAAGATCATTGAGGAACCAATATTCCTAAAAGTTTTGCCAAATAAGCTTATGTAAATAAAAGACAAACAGCAACGAACAACACATTGATCATTATAGCCGGACTTAGTAAATGTATATAATGTGGTGGGAATGTACCAGATTAACGAAAACACAAACCTTAAAAGTTCGTTTTGTGCATTTACATTGATGACCAATTCAACTAATGAGTCGAGATGAGTCGAACGGATTGGTGTTATGTTGGAAGTCTTAATGATAAATGTTTTACTATAAGTATCACATATAGACGAGTGACATTAACCATAAAATTTTATTTTTAATGCACCCACCTAACATACGGCTAAATCATATACCATTCGAAAGCACATCATCTGCACTACCTTTTTTGCCCGGTCGTCAAAAATTCGTATGGTGCAGTTTCTGTCAAATCACAACGAAAGGTCAAGGACGGACAACTTCTAATTTTACAAGAAGTCAGCATTGTTTGCATATTCTGTCTTCTGAATAATGATATTTTGTATGGAAATATGGAAATCTGTTAGAACAGATGTTAATAGTAACTTATCAAAAGCACTTTGAAATATTAATGTCGGATTTTTAATAAATAGCGCTGTTTTCCAGAAATTCCATTGAAAATGACAAAAATGCATGAAAATCAAATTTTATGTCTGTGATTCAACTGTTATTCACCATAAAACCAAATAACATATTTTATTTAGTGCTAAGGATGTTTTTGACATCATTAAATTACTGCAATTACGCATCTTGTTAATTAAACAGCCAATTATAAACAACCATGCAGTTGCCCGAAATACCGCCATCTACAAGAAAATAGCTTTTTAGCTGTTCTTTGTTAAAACAATTTGTATGTAGTCGATATTATGTTGAAAAACACAAATTTTAAAAGTGCAAATGTTAAAGGATAGAATACACAGAAATATCGTGCATTTAGGGAAAAGTTTGGGAGCAAAACTTTGATAATTCAATATTTCAATATTTGTATGTTTTCTTGGTTGCTTATACTGCATCTTGCATTGAATGAGGAAGTGAAAACTATTATAAGCTAGCCACAGAAATGTTCTTCATGCTTGGCCAATATGTTTAATCCTATCCAACTACGTAATTTATTGTAAATAAATTGAGACCCTCGCAATTATATTTACTTACATTAATTTTTGAATTGGGAAATCTAGCAATTCGCAATAACAATACATACATTTCCATTAATCAAATTTACTCCCTGAATAGTTTACATATAAACACATTTTAATATAAAGATGATTGATTGATTGTTGGTGTTTGACGCAATTTTCGGTTTAGCACTTTTGGCTTCTAAAGTATTTTGCGGCGATCAGTTTTAAATGGTTTAGGCCCATGGAATGCCCAAGGAACCACCGACCTTCGGAAGGAAAACTGGCAATCCCCATCAACAATACATTACTTATAGTTATTCAATGATTAGTATCAAGGACGAAGTTACTGTGAAGGTGTCACAACACAAATATACCAATCAGCATTGATCACCTTTTGTAAAAGTAGGCAACCTCTTACCAAACACAGCAGTGTTAATGTTGATGTTTACTTCAGCTAAATGTTACAAGTAAAGTTTCTTAATAGATACAAAAATATAAATGCATTTAAACCACTTTTATTTCAAATTAAATTGGCCATGATTTTGCATTAAAATTTCAATGTAGATTTGCCACATAATATTTTCATTTTAGGCATTTAAGAAGAAGAGCACGATCTACTATTTTAGTAGATCATCTATTTAGCATTGGTTGATCATTGGCATATTAAAGATAGTACATGTATATTAAGAATACATATGGTTAAAATGAAGTTATTTTATTCTAAAATATCTATACAATTGTGAGAAATAAAAAAATTGTGGTTGAATTTATCCAGTTTTTCTAATTGGTTTTATGTCATCTGATCTTAAATTATGTTCGTGGATATTTATTGTGCACTGAGCCCTCTGTTATTGATCTGACAGCGACATTTTGCGATTTTCTCACTTTATTTTCATATTTTTTGGTTCAAGTTTCTAATGGTGCGAAGATCTCACAACAATAATAAGTGATATAAGTTGACATGAAAAAAACGTACAAAATGTTATGTATAAGTGTTAAAAACATGGGTTAAAACAATCTGACTAAAATTAAGATCAATCACGACTCGCCTGCTCATATATTGCATGAGAATAACGAAATCAGAGAACTACATTTAATAAGATTAGGGTTAACTTAATGAGATAGCTTGAAAGCAGGTATGTTCTTGTAAATTTAAAGCGATTACTGTTTTTAGCGCTATTTGAATATGTCTATTATGAAACAAATCCCTTCACGTATAACCTCCATATGTGCACTTTGAACTTCCATAATTCTGCCAAGCAATGTCGAAGGAATATTGCTCATTACAATTTTGAGACTAACATATGGATATGTGAATGGAAAGAACAAAAGAAAAAAGGACGTAAGGACAAGATGTTTCCTACATTTCCGCTATATCATATAAAGATAGATAGAGATGGAGAGAGAACTACGAGGTCTATCACAACTGTTTTCCAATCGTTTGATGTGTTTCAGCTTTTGGCTTTGATATGTGATAAGAGACTTTCTGTTTTGAAATTTCACTTGGAGTTCGGTAATTTATGTTGTTTTACTAACTTATTTTTTGCATCAATATCTGAGTTTTAAGTTCTGTTGTCTTATTTCGCTCAGCTTGGGAATTTATGGTTTTCTTTCCTTTGATTGAAAGAAGGGATAAAATAATATGGAGGCAGTCTCAAACCATGGTCGACGAAAAACAGATGACAGCATGACCATGGCGAAAAATTAGAACAGACAAACAAATCTTCTTAAAACACTATACCGAATTGTGTGAACAATACATAAACCAGTATGGTGATTACAGTTGTTCATGAAGGTTATTCAATCTTAATTAATCTGAATTATTAATTTTCAGTCATATTTAATAAAACAACTAACAAAGTATATCATAATGGGTTAACATTAAAAGGAAGTCGTCCAATTTGACATTGAAAAGCGCATGGTACAGACAGTTTTCTTTCGAACATCTTCGTAACATGTCTTTCCACATCGGGAAACTAATTTTTACCAAATATACTTCTTTTGTTCCTTAACATTCTTCCATAACCTGTTTTTTAAATATGGTTGATCATTATCTGCCGATATTAGCAATATTATCTAGCAAACAAAAAGCTAAATGATCCCCATTTGCAGATGGTGTCTCTTAGGGCAACTACAAAAGCTTCATTAGAAGGCTCCATCTGGACCTACATCATATTAATTGCAGTTTAAAATGATGAAAAAATACCCTAGGTCCATAAACAATAAATCTATTCTATTTTTGACATACAAATATTCAAATTTCAGAAAACATTTAGATTTTATTGCAATTTTTATCATTTTTGGAAGTTTTTTCAAGAAATGCAATTTTTTGTTAATATAGCGCAATCAACATTTAAGTTTGCACTTGATTTGAAATCATGGTAATTTGTTTTATAAGGTTTAGATCAATTTTAGGGAATAAAATGCCATACAAGTACCTGAAAATGGCATTTTGTGTAATTATAGCAAACATTCGGAATGCTCAGTTTAGACCTTTGACCTTGATTTAACGAAAATTTCACCGTACGAATTATTGACGACCGGGCAAAAATGAAAGTACAGGTAATAAGCTTTCGAATGATATACAATATAGCCGTATGTTAGGTGGGTGCATTAAAGTCGCTAACTAAGCGTCTTTTTGAAAATTGTCACTCGCCTAATAAAAATAATTTTATCAATGATCCATGACAATGCGGATATGGTCAGATAAATCTTACCAGACAGACATGTACAACTTAAAATCATTTCATTAGTTGACTTATTGCTTACAGTATCCAAGAAACAGGCAAACCATGAAAACTGTACATTGACCAATAAAAACCATGACAATGAGGTCAAGGTCAGATAAATCCTGTCAAACGTACATGTACACCTTGAAGTCATTCCATGCATTCACTAAATATAGTTGACATGATTCAATTGCTATAGTAGGGTGTCTAGTCAACAAGTTTGATCGATTTGGGTTAACATATGGCTGTATTTGATATCATTGGAAAGAGAACAAGTCTCATCGAAATATTGATGTCGTCGTTGTCTACAGTGGTCACGATTTTCTTAAATTTGGGTCAAAGATCAAAGCTAACATTTCAAGGAAAACGCAGAGTCATATTTAGACAGCTGGCCGTCCCTTCATATATGCGTTGATAGCAAAATGAATTCGAATAATTCAAAGGATTATAACTATAGTTTCTATATTTAAGACTAATTTGATTTTTATATGGTTCGAGATTGACATTTGTACTTATAGGGTGCACATTTACAATTTTCATTCAGCAATAGTGACCTTAACCTTTTAAAATTTCCAAATTCGAAATTTTGACATAAGATTCGATACAATGTGGACCAATCTGATATAGGGGCTCAAAATCCAAAATCTAAAACATTGTTAGATTCAGCATATCAAATTACCAAATGTATTCAATTTTTGTTGAAATCAAACAAAGTTTAATTTTGGATCTCGATTTAGACCAACAGCATGCATGAAAACTTGGCCTGAAATAAAAATATAAATACATGCTTATATTCAGTTTAGCAAAGAACCCCTTGAATTCATTTTTTCATAAAATCTAAATAAATTTAATTTTGGACTATGTGGACCAATTTAAAACTGGTCCCAAAATCAAAAATTTGAAAAACACACTTAGATTCAGCATATCAAAGAACCCCAACCATTAATTTTTTTTTTAAATCAAACAAAATTTAATTTTGGACCCTTTGGACCTTAATGTGGAC